GCCCTACAGTGAAAATCTCTCCAAAAAAAAAAAAAAAAGAAAATGAAAAAAAAAAGAAAGTTAATCTAGAATTACTAGTACTCTATCACTTCTAGCTGACTGACATCTTTCCACAGCAGACGTGTACCAAAGTAGTGAGAATATTTTTGAGACACTTACGCGACTTTGCCAGAATGATTTCACACGCAAACGGTGGATTTTTGAAACTTTTCCATGAATGACATCAAACTTCTTATCCAGGTTTTGAATAGCATTGTATATAACCTATAGAGCACCTGCCCCGTCCCACCCCAACCCCCCTCCTGGCTGTGCCTGCCTCATCCCATCCCAACTCCCATCCTGACTGGGGAGAGACAAGCACAGAAAATTCCAGTCGAGAAAGTGATGCGCTTCCTGGAGCTGGTTCCCAAGTGCAGCCTGACTGGCAGCATCAGCCCACTGCCATCTGGTTAGAAATGCAACCACAGGGGCCAGCAGGTGGTGTGGTGGTTAAGGTGTTCGATTCTCACATGGCCAACCGTGGTTCAAGTCCCAGACTTAGTGGTTGAAAATCACGCTGGGCACATGTGCATGTATGCCCCCAAATCCCAGGAGAATGAAGAAGGGATTGTGGCATGGCCATTCCCCCGGGGAGATTTCTCACTTTCCCTCTCACTTACTCTGTTTCTCTGGCGAGTGCATGCACCCTATGGGGAAAAAAAAAAAAAGAAAGAAAGAAAGAAAAAAAAAACTAAAAAAGAAAAAAAGAAATGCAACCTCAGCTCCACACGGCCCACTATGTGGGAACTCAGAGTGGGTGAGGGCCTGCCCACCCAGGGATTGTGATGCGTGCTCGAGTGTGAGAACCACCAGCCTGTGGCACCAAGGTACACAGTGCGGGCTCTAGAGGGGCCCTGCTGGGGTCAAGCACTAGAGTCCTGCTGCTTCCCGGCCCTGCGACCTTGGCAAAGTTTCCTAACTTCTCTGGGCTTCACTTTCCTCACATTCAGAGCTGGGATGCCAACCTCTCACTCGGGGTTCTCTGGAGGAAAGAGCCCTGCTGTAGCCCTGCCTTGGTGCTCAGTGCCAGCACCAATGGCTGGGCCAGCGGTGCCGGACAGTCTAGCACAGCATAGCCTTGTCGTTACCAGTGCTGGGACCCAGTGCCGGGACCCAGGTAAGAACGGGAGGCTGCAGACAAGGGGGTGTCCGAGTGTGGAACGAAAAGATGAGAAGGTGCTCGCTCACAGGTGAACATGCATGGAAGGGCAAACTGGGCAGAGGGGACAGCATGTTCAAAAGTACCAGGATGCAGAGAAAGCAGGAAGCCCGGTGTTCAGGCGGCAAATGTAAGCGAGGCTCAAGGAACTGAGGGACCAAGGGGAAGAGCCCAAGGGGACACTACAGAGGGTGGGGCAAGTAGGCTTTTGTAAAACTGGAGGGAATGCCCGAGGAGAAGCAGGGACAGAGAGCGGCTGGGGACAGTGGGAGGGAGGGGCACCCCACAGAGGGAGGTCTCTGAGCTCAGGGGAGAGGGGCGGACACAGACCGGGGAGGGGACCTTGGGCAGCGAAGACGCCCTGATGTTCCCACAGGGGTGGCAAGTTCTCAGGTACAGAGACAGGGGCAGGACTGGGGAGTGGGGGAGGTTACTGCCATAGCCCTAATGGCTCCAGAAGAGCAGAGGCAGGCTGAGGTATGTGGAGCCCGTGGGGGGGTGGGGCACCTACTGGGGCCAGGGAAGGGGGTCCTGTCCTTGGGATCCTGCCTAAACAGGCCTGGGGCAATGGGGTGATGGGGGAGGCGGGGCAAGGATAAAGGGGCTCCGTGGAGGAAGTGGGGAAAAGAAGACACCCTGGTTGAAGCGCTTCATCAAGGGTCTAGGATGGATGGCAGGG